TTGTGAGAGAGAAAGACAGCGCGAGTGGGGAAGGGGCAGAGAGAGAGGGAGATACAGAATCCGAAGTAGGCTCCGGGCTCGGACCTGTCAGCACGGAGCCCGATGTGGGGCTCGAACTCACAGACCGCGAGATCATGACCTGAGCCGGAGTCAGCCGCCCAACCAACTGAGCCCCCAGGCGCCCCAAGGCAGGCGCTTTTCTTATGCCCTTTTCACAGTCGGGGAAACCGAGGCTCAGAGGGGTTAGGTCCCTTGGCCAAAGTCACGCAGCGGTAAGTGGCAGCTCCTGGATTCAACTCAGGTCAGTTTCATCCAGTGTTTTCATCACTTACTCCACTGCCTGCCCCTGGCTCTCCGGGCCTCTCTGGGCCTTAGTGACCCCCATGGAAAGCCTGGTGGATGCAGTGGCTATACCGGCTCCAGGCCCTGCTGAGGTCAGAGTGCAGGACAGGACCCACGTGGCTGCTTTGCCTCTTGTCCCACCAGCCCCCCATCCCCCAAGGGGTATGGTCAGCCTGTATACCCAGCATCGTGGGACTGCAGTACAAAGGGCAGAGATGGGCTTTGAGGTCAGTCAGGCCTGAGTTGAAGTCCCACCTCCCCCATTCACCTGTACCGTCTCCGAACCTCAGTTTTCTCATCTCTGAAATGGAGAGAGTAATGGTCCCCACTCCCCTCCATCGAATTATGCTGAAGCCTAAAAGAGATAAGGCAGCCTGGCACTTTGTGCCTGCCCAAACATAGCGGGTGACAGTGACGACTGCTTCCCTTCCCCGTTGCCCTGTGAGTGTAGCGAAATTCAGCGAAGGAGGTGCACTTCTACCTCCTGCCCCACCCCCACCCCTTGTGTGGTCAACACGGCCTCAGCCCCACCCTCAGACCCAAAGCCCAGCTGGGAACAGAAGCTACGGATGTGGCCAATTTGGGTTTTCGGGCTTTTTTTGGTGACAGTGACTCAAACCCAGAGTATTTCTCCTCCAACAAAGATGCAGCTGGTCTTCGGTGTGCGCTCTGGGGCTGTGCCCGACGGGGAGAGGAGAGGGGCTGTGGCCCAGCGTCCTGAGTCTGTGTCAGGACCGGCAGGGCGGTGGGAAAGGCCGAGGTAGAGGGTGAGGCGGGCGGGGGAAGGAGAGGAGGGGTGTGCCCTCAGCACAGGGGTGGGGAGAGAGGGGCATGCCTGCCTGAAACCTAGGAGCCTTCACCCTGACACCTGACACCATGCCGGGACCTTAGACGGTGACTGGGCCCCTCTGAGCCTCAGTTTCCATATCTGTAACTTAATATCCCTGCCCTACTTGTCTCCTTGCTCGTAAGGCTCCAGTGAGCCACAGGAGATGAGAAAAGATTGAAACAAATATATACGAGTCCTCATTCTTATAACAGGTCCTCACTGGGTATTATGACTCCCAAAGCGGTGACAGGGAGAGTTTGCGGGCACAAAGTCTTTCCTGATCTCAGAGAATCCCTGAGGTCCAGCGCCTGAGGTACAGGCGGGCAGGGTGGCAAGTTACATCAGAATCTGTCTTTCCATCAGCTCAGACCTCCAGCAGCTTTGTTCTTTCTTTAATCATAAAAGATAGTATTTGTTGAGATTTCTCTGGGCTGGACTTGGTCCGTGCATTCGTTTTTCGACCCTCACAGGTAGATGCAATCTCTCCTCTCCTCTACTGGGGCTTAATGAGTTTGAGTGATTTGCCTGAAGTCACGCAGCAGATAAATGATAAACTGGGATTAGAACCTAGGTCAGTTTCCAGAGTCTATGCTCTTAATTACTACATGGCACCATCTTCCAAGGCTCCCTCCCCATCCACCCAACCATCCATTCATCATCATCTATCTATCCATTTATCCATCCACCCTTTTCTCATCTCTTCTAGATCAAGCAGGCTGAGGCAGATTCCCCTTCGTTCTAGGACCATAACTGCATCTTTAATTCTGTCACTCCAGGGGGCATTGGCTCATTCCCCAGACAAGGACCTGAGGCTCCAGGGGCTCATAGTGTTTCAGTCCATGGTGGTAGCCCATCCCCTACATGCGCCACCCCGTCTTCTTCTGAGGAAGATCCCAGAGAGGTGATACCGATGTCAGTGTCCCCTCTTGTTCCCTGAGACGCCCTGAACACATACAGAGCAAAGGCCAAGGGGTCCCTTAGCCTCAACTTTTTCATCAACCTCCCCCAGAACCAGGGGGTCCCTTCAACACAAGCGCTCTTCCCATCCTTAATCAGGAGACACCGGCAAAGCCAGGAAAAGCCCTGTGTGACTTCGGGCTTGTAATCCTTTCTTGGAGAGGACTGAACATCTTCCAATGCACTGTCACACTGAATTGTCAGAGGTGTCTGAGAAGGCGATGCTCCTACCACTGCCCCCATACCAATTACTGGGTGTCTTCCATATTCCAGACCAGTCCTCATCCAGCGTGTGATCCGGGCCCCTGTATCAGCGTGCCCCTTGCCCCTGTGCTCCCAAGACTTTGATTTGTTTAGTATATTTCATTTCAAACGACCCTTTCGAACACAATTAAATATCTGTCTAAAGAACCTTGACATCCGTTTCACACATGGAAAGCTAGTATCACTCGCTGTAAGTGAAAGGTGAAGAGTCAACACGATGGACATAAAGAAGGGCTGTTACACCGTTTGCTTGCTCAAGGCTCTGGGTGGATGGCTGTTCTTTCCTTATCACAGAGAGAGAGAGAGAGACAGACTAGTGAGTGTCAAAGGTTCGTCAGCACCCAACAGAGACTTTCCCCTAGCTGTAATCAGGTTTCTTTTTTTTTTTTTTAATTTTTTTTTTCAACGTTTTTATTTATTTTTTTTGGGACAGAGAGAGACAGAGCATGAACGGGGGAGGGGCAGAGAGAGAGGGAGACACAGAATCGGAAACAGGCTCCAGGCTCCAAGCCATCAGCCCAGAGCCCGACGTGGGGCTCGAACTCACGGAGTGCGAGATCGTGACCTGGCTGAAGTCGGACGCTTAACCGACTGCGCCACCCAGGCGCCCCAATTTGATTTGATGTAATCAGGTTTCAAGGGAAATGTCTTCTTATCTCTTATTTTACTCCAGGGTCTTGTAGCGCTTAAGTTGTGTGTGAATCCCACAACTGGGGAAACGTTTTGCTCACATAATGAACACACTGTCTCATTGAATCCTCCACCAGCCTCCAGAAAATAGGCATGGTAGAGGGAGAAACCAAGGCTCAGAGAGGTAAAGCCACTTGCCCATGGTCACACAGCCTGTAAGTGACATAGCCTAGGCTCAAACCCAAGAGCTTCTGCTAACGGTCTCTCTCCTTCTTGCCTTTGCCCCTCCCGGCCCTCGTCATTCTGTCCATCCCTCCCACATCCAGCTGGGTCGCCTTTGAGCAGTCCAACTTCCGGGGGGAGATGTTCGTCCTGGAGAAGGGCGAGTACCCGCGCTGGGACACGTGGTCGAGCAGCTACCGCAGCGACAGGCTCATGTCCTTCCGGCCTATCAAGATGGTGAGTGGCTCCTGAGCCCGTCCTGGGGGATCAGTGGGGAGGCAAGAGCAAAGGTCAGGTCTGATGGCAAGCTAGGCAATGGGGGACAAGCAAGGGAAAGAAGGAGGAAAGGCAGGCAGGGAGGGACGATGACCAAGGGCACTGGGCCCTGACGCTCATCGATTTATAAGGTGTTCCTGGTGTGCCCAGCCCCCGCTAGGAGCCCTGGACCAATGAGACATACGAGACATGGTTTTTTCCTTCCCTGCCGCTTTAGAGAGGAGACTCACTACCTTAGTTGTTGGAACGAGAGACTTCAGTGTCCCCCTTGCTTCTCTTTGTGGACTGTTTCTCATCCCTGACTGCACGTTAGACCCTCCTAAGAAGTTCTGACAATCCCCGTGCCTGTTCAAAACCTCCAAGGGGCAGGTTCAAGCCTGTGTGGTAGCTGAGAAGAGGGATGTCGTAGAAGGACACCTTGAACTTCACGATGATAGGACAACATACTGAAGTAGCTCCTTTATACTATTTAGCTGAGCTAAATAGTATCACTTAAGGAAGACTCAAAGCCAAGATCGCTGGTGCGATCCCCAGGAAAGGCAGTTTTTCCAGAGTAGTGCTGGTTGCGATGCTGGAACCAGCCGTGTGTTCCGTCACCAGTGTCGATCTCCAAGGGCAACCAGCTTCTGCCCCCATGACGGGAGTTTTCCCGAAGAACTTCTTTTTTTTTTTTTTTAATTTTTTTTTCAACGTTTTTTATTTATTTTGGGACAGAGAGAGACAGAGCATGAACGGGGGAGGGGCAGAGAGAGGGAGACACAGAATCGGAAACAGGCTCCAGGCTCTGAGCCATCAGCCCAGAGCCCGACGCGGGGCTCGAACTCACGGACCGCGAGATCGTGACCTGGCTGAAGTCGGACGCTTAACCGACTGCGCCACCCAGGCGCCCCCCGAAGAACTTCTATGAATGTCCGTGATGCCAGCTGTTTTGGCATCGCCCCAACATATTTCTCAGAACTGGGAGCTGACTTATCAGGCTGTAATGGGCCCCTGGTAAGAATTCATAGATGTACCTCTCAATCAATGGTCCTTAAAAGGCAATCTATGTCAACAAAGCTTGTTTGGAGGCTTGACCGGCCAGGGCATTTCTCGTAGCTTCTAGAGCTTTGCTGCCCAATACCTTAAGGAGTAGCCACCTGTGGCTGTTGAGTGCTTAACTCTTGACTAGTCTGAATGGAGGTGTGCTCTCCGTGTAACATACATAAACCAGGGTTTGACCACGTAGTGCAAAAATAAAAATAAGAATAAAACGATCTCATTACTATTGCTATACTGTTTGCATGTCGAAATTCTAATAGGTTGGACGTATTTGCTTAACTATATAGTCTATTACTAGGGGGAAAAAAATCCCAGCGCCTGCACCCCACCCCAGATCCATTGCATCCGAATCTCTGCGGCCGGGTCACGGGCACTGATATCTTTCTCATGCCCACCAGGTAGGAGGTGTCGCCGGGGCTGAGAACACCAGACCCCTCTCCCCTCTCTATCTCGGCCACTGTCCTCGTGCGGGCCACCATGGTCTCTTCCTTGGGCAGCTCCCGCTCCCTCCCCGCCCGGTTCCCTGGCTCCTTCCCAGCCCACACTCCTGGGACATTAGATGGGTGTCCAACCTGACCTACCTCCCACTTACCATCATGCATTCAACCACTATCGGTTGACCTCTGTCCGCCAGGCTCCGTTGCAGGCTCCGCGTGCACAACTCTTCACGGGACAGGCCAGACCCCTGTCCTCACAAGAGGCCACTACTGAAAACCCAATCACAGAAATCAATCTGTAATCACAAAGCACGTGGCACGCACCCCGGGCTAGGAGAGCAGGAGAGGTTAGTGGGGGCTCTGCTGTGGGTGGTGGCAGCCGGCCAGGGGTGGTCGAGGAAGCCAGCTCGCTGGAGGCTGAGGACCCAGTCAGCCACAAGAGGCCTGACGGGCCTTTCCGCTGCAAAGGGGGTGCCGAATTCCCTGAAGCAAGGATGAACTGGGAGCCCAGGAACTACAAAAGAGTTGGTGTGGCAGGACGGAGGGGAGAAGGGTGCAGGCTGGGATGGGAGGAATGAATTGCATCTCCGAGAGCCTCTGCCTCTCGCTGGCTGGGCGACGCCGATCAAGAGTCTTGACCTCTCTGAGCCTCTGCATCCCTGGCTGTAACGATAACCGTGACGGATACAGGGTTTGGTAAGCGCTTAATCGTACGCTAGGCGCGGTGTGGAGAGTGCTGTGTGAATTACTGCATGTAACCCGCATGACAGCTCCATGAAACACAGGCCGTTATAGCTTCTTTTCACAGCTGAGGAGGGCCCTCCCAGGCCGGACAGTGGCAGCCCCGGGCAAGGCCCATGGCAGCCCGAGCAGACTCAGCTGTCTCTCTGTCCACACCCAGGGGGCCCCTCTATGTTACTTCTCTTTGCCCCGTTCACACTTCACATGCCTGACCCGGTCTCTCCTTCCCTAGGACTCCCAGGAGCACAAGATCTGCCTGTTTGAAGGTGCCAACTTCAAGGGCAACACCATGGAGATCCAGGAGGACGATGTGCCCAGTCTCTGGGTCTATGGCTTCCGTGACCGTGTGGGCAGCGTGAGGGTCTCCAGTGGAACGTAAGCATCTCTCCTGCCAGGCCCGTGGCTTCTGCCTTAAGCACAGAACTCAAAGGCGGTCCCCCTTCTAGAATATAACATCGGGTGCGTAGGAAGGCCACACGGCCCCTCCCCGGTGCTGGGGGCTGGGATTGCACCCACAGAGCATTATTCCCCTGGAGAGTGGACTCATACTCTGATGAATTACATGTCAGTGTGACCAAACCTAGCAATTGCTTGGTTAGCTGTGAATCCCACAGCTAACAGCGGTGCTGGGATCTGAACGAAAGTATTGCTGATATCAGACTGTGCGTTCGCAACCACTACATGTAAATTCACTTACATACCTAGGAAACCACTATTTGAAAGGAGGCTCCTCTTTCTTCTGTGCCTCATTGCTAACCAGTCCCCAAAACCTATTCTCATCCCTTCGATCCTGTTGTGTGAGCCCCACGTCACCACCATCGGTGGGATGTGCACTGATCTCCCTACCACCCAAGCACACGAAGTACTTTAGGTACATTTTTCCACGTGGCCCCCTAATAGCTTTCCAGAAGGGGAAACTGAGGTCTTTTACAGAGGTGGAGTTACTGGCCAAAGCCAATAGGAAGCCCCAAGAAGGGGCAAAGCCAGGACAGAGGAGCTGCGCCCCCCTTCCTGTGACCAAAGCCCATGAGGGATGGAGAACAGATTGCAGGGATGGGGGGAGCTGGCCCCGGCAGGGATCTGGGTGCCAGGCAGTGAGGCTGACCGTCTCCACCCTGTCCTCCTTACTTCCCTTCCAGCTGGGTCGGCTATCAATATCCCGGCTACCGCGGGTACCAGTACCTCCTGGAGCCAGGCGAATTCCGGCACTGGAACGAGTGGGGGGCCTTCCAGCCGCAGATGCAGGCCGTGCGTCGCCTGCGTGACAGGCAGTGGCATCGTGAGGGCTGCTTCCCGGTCCTCGCCGCCGAGCCCCCCAAGTGAAGCCATCCACGCTCTGCTCTTCTCCCTTGCCCCGCCCCTCCCCCAGACCCGGTTTGCCCATCTTTCCCGTGCAAATAAAAGTTCCTAAAGCCAAATTGTCTCCTGGGTCTGTGCATAAATGTGAGCTTTGGGGTCTCCCATCATTGCCGGCATGTGACTTCCTCTGTCTTGATAATTACGTATACTCGTAATAAACACAACAGGCAAAAGTTCATGACACACGTTCTCTTCAGATCTCTTTTGGACTACTCTAAGTGGCTGGGAGCATAATTATTCCCATTTAACAGGTGAGGAAACTGAGGCTCAGAGAGGGAAAATGACTTGCCCAAGGTCACACAGCCAAAAATTTGAACCCAGGCCCTCTGACTGCTGAGCTCTTAACAAATCTGTGCTTTCCAACTCTGCTCCTTTGTGCACGCTGCTGATTTCTTGCCTTCTCTGCTCGACACCTGTCTTGTTATTTACTTAATATTTTGATTTAAACAGACTTCCTATTTTGCGCTCAGAGGCATTGATTTGTAAATGAAGCTTTATTGCACCACGGGAAGTGGCGAATCAGCATCATATGCCATAGATAGAAAGCAATCGTGTAAATATACTTTTCAAGAAGGCCAAGTATCAGACAGACACCTGCCCGCTGAAGGCTCTAAGCCTGTAGCCCCGCTCGTGCTTTGATAAAATGGGTGATTACCAAGTGTTGCGGACAGAGATGGGAGACACACGCCACACAGAGTTTTTTCTCCCTGATATAATCAAAGAAGATTGAAAAGAGCCTTATTTTCTTGTATCCGGTGCAGGGTTACTTAATCCCGGGTCCAAGTTCCACTGAGAATCATCCCTCCTACTACAAATGGCACATGCCTTTTGCTCTTTGAAAACCTGTGCTAGGCCTTATTGACTCCCATATCCACAGTTATTATTGATTGATGTTATTAACCTTTAATCCATGCAGGAGGGTGGGCGGGGGGGAGGGTGTGTTGCCATGGCGGAGGGGATGTTTGAGGGGAACTTGAGGGGTGGGACAGGAGCCTGCTTGGTGGGGAAGAAGAACGATGACATTCCAGGCAGAGCAAACAGCAAGGCCTTACTACCATCCCACATGGCACCTTTGTACAAATGATAAAATGATACCTCTTCCTCAAGACATCTGACTGCCATCTGCCCGGATTTCTTGGCCTACATCTGCGACACCCAAAGTGTGAATGCGATACCTTTGCACTGTGCCCAACTTACACAGCTGTACTTGGCAGGCCTGGGGCACCATGGGAAAGGCACAGAGGTTGAGAGAGCTTGCGGTGGGCCCAAGCAAAGCTTATTGACATGAGAGCACTAGCTTGGTGGCTGTGTGGGCAGAAGCGGGGAGGGAGAGGGGGGTGGGTGGGTGGAAAGAAGTTGCTGAATGTGGCAGGAGATGAAGCTGGAAAGAAGAAGGGTGGGGCCTCCTGAAACCCCACTCTGTGGTTTTGCTGAGCTTCAAAGTTGAGGCACCACCTGACTCCGAAGGTCATTGCCCTCTGAGGCGTGCCCTCCCACTCCCTCCCATCCTCAGTCTCCCCGCCTCCACCCTCTAATGTGACCAGCATCTTCTATTAGAAGACAGGCTCTCTTGTCTTGGACTAGAAGATTCCGGGGCAGGAATCTGTAGATGCGGGTGTTTGCCCTGTCTCACTGCTAGAAGCTGCAGTGTTGGGCAAAATGCTTCCATTCCCTGGGACTCATTCTGCCCGTCCCTACGAGGGCAGCTCGACTGTTCGAGCAGGCCCGAGACTCTGACGCTGGCATTCCATGGTTCCCAACTCCCACGATTCTCCAAGATTCTGTAGTTTATCTCCGAACAGCCGTGACTCTCTGATTCCCAAGCCAAGCCACACAGATTGCCGTCCTCGGTTCCTAAGGTCCGTGGGTGAAGCTCCGACACTCTACTCAGTAGAGTCACAAGAGCCGACTGTGAGACCTCGCGGACAGCAAGACGTGCGATTCGGTGAGAAAGAGAAAGAAAGAGAAACACGCTCCCCATTGAGATATGACCCAAGCTGCTCTCTGATCGCTCAGAACTTGTATTTCACGCTTCTTGAGAGAACTATTTTGGGCGGAACAGGTGTTTTGTTTCGTTTTCCGTGCGCCAATCCCGTGAGTCCTACAAAAGGCGAACATAACAGAAATCCACTGGTTTAAGGAGTGACAAAGCTGACGCGTGTTCGTAATCTAGATTTTCCAGGCTGCTGTAACTCAGAGGTGTCGAAGCCCTGATTTTCTCACAGGTGCTCTACGAAAACAGGGTGCGTGGTAGCCGTGCGGTGACGCGAGCCGACGCTCGGCAAAGCCAAGCAACTAGGCAAAAACGAGGCAGGCAGCGTCCCAGTAATTTATTTTATGCCTCACTTGCCGCTGTGTCCGTATATTATTTAGCTTTCGTTAACAAGCTCCTGAATCAACACACCACGTGATAAAAAGCCAGAACAAACGCAAAGGACGAGTGAGCCCAAGACAAGGCCACGTAAAAAGGTGGGGAGGGTGGGGGACATTTAAGAGTGACCGACCTGTTGTTTCTGCCGTGGGTCCTACTTCCAGCGAAACATGAGCTTTTCGCCACCTGAAACAGAATTTCAGACCTGAAAGAGAAGTCACTTTTTTTTTTTTTGCCTCGAAATGGAAACTTAGAGGGTTCGACTTTATCAGGTGTTCACCAGAAGCACTGATGATGGGCACCATGCTGGAGGCCACCAGTGGAGCCGGACCTGGTCATGTGGCTGTCGTGCCCACAGCTTTTTGGGGGGGGGGCTTCCCGGGGCCGGTTTGGACTCTGTGGGAGTTTGGCCCTAAATGCTGGCTTCCAAACGCAGTGCGCGCTGGGATGTCATCCTGTTTCACTATTAGATCCCAGCTCATGAATCTCTGAGTCACAGGCCTTTGGGAAGACAAAGCGCCTTGGTTATGGAACGCTATCTCCCGTCCACAGCAACAGGAGGCAAACCACGATCTTTGGGGCATCAGGGCACGGACACAAAATCAGCAGCGTGTGTGGGCGTGAGGGGCGGGGTGAGGGGTGGAAGGGCCACCCAGGGCTGTGATCCCTTGCGTGCAGGCACCCGATGCTGATGGACACACAGCAACCGAGTTTTGGGAAAGGTTCATTGTGCCAGGGTGTCCCAAGGAGCTTCCAGAGAGGTGAGCATCTCTTTAGAGCCTCGTTGCCATGACAGCCAGTCACCTGGATCCGATCCCTAAGATCAGAGTGTTTTATGAAGCTTGGGTACCGAGCTAGGAGTGCACCGTCAGCGCAAAGCCTAGAACTCAAGAACTATGAGCTCGTGACCTGAGCCGAAGTGGGATGCTTAACCGACAGAGCCACCCAGGCGCCCCTGGAATCAATGTGTTTTATGCCACATTTATTCTTCCTGCTTCTGACAAGTATTGGCTGAGGGCCTCCTAAGTGCCAGGCTTCATCTAGGTGCTGGGGAAACAGGTGGGGAGAGAAGACAGGCGAGGCCCCCTGCCTGGTTGGTCATGGATTGGAGGAGCAGACGGGAGGAGAGCTGTCATTTGGTTTCAAAGCCACATCAAATTCCTGGGCTGCATGGTCCGGTGTCCGTCTCATCAGGATCTCCTGGGGGTCAGGTAGGCTTCCTCAAGGAGGGGCAGCTAGCTTGAGATTTGAACGGGTTCACCAAGTTGGAGAAGGTCCAACCTAGAAACCAGAAGATCATCTGGTCCGCTTCTTCAGCCCCACAACTGACATCTGCCAATCCTGTCTTCCAGATATCTCTGGAGCCCGAACATCCCCTCCCTGCCTCTGGTCCCACCCTGGGTTGGCCACCTCCCCTGGAGTATTTCAACAGCCTTCAACCTGCCTCCCCTGCCTGTCCTCCTCCACAGAGCAGTCAGAGGACCTCTGCGGAAAGCAAAATCAACCATGTCCTTCCCCTGCGGAACACCTTCCTGTCTTTCCAGTGCTGCCGGGTGAGGTCCTGACTCCTTCCCACATTCAGCAAAGCCCTGCAGCATCCAGCCCCTGCAGACCCCCCTGATCTCCTGTCTCCCCCCACTCCCCACATCTGGTCCACTGCATTTCACGCAAGCCTGCATCTGGAAAGTGCTTCCTGCTGGACCTTTGTACCTGCTGGTCTCTGTGGTTGGCACACTCTCCCGTAGACCTTTACCCATGTTTCAGGCCTCAGTGTAAACACTCCTGGTCCTCCCTGCCGGGGCCAGGTTAATCCCCTCTGTCCTTCCCAATTAGAGGTGCCCACTGTATCGTGACTGCATATTGAAGGGTCTGGTTTCCCAAGTGGATGCAGGGTCCTTGTCCTCCTGTTAACTGCTGAATCCCAGTGCCCGAAACAGGGCGCTCAGGAAATGCTGTTGCTGGCCAGAATGTTATTAAACAGATGGTCCCCATTCAGATCTCTTCCCTTGATCTGCAGTTCTCTGCCCACAAAGGGGGCGTTATAAAACACCCAGCAGAGTTACTATGCAGCTAATCACACAAATCCTCTAATATGTGCACAAGAAACACTCTTAAATAACAGTCAGCTTCACGGAGACAGGGGATTTCATATCGTCAGTCCCAATACTTGACACGTGAATGAATTAATGAAGAGCTATGAATGAACGCACGGGCAAATTACCTCTTTTCTGTAGGCCTTGGTGCTGTTATCTGTAAGATGGGGGTGACAATACACCTATCACAGGATATTAAAAGTGCACATATGTAAATGTAGATGGAGTGTTTAGATAAAGGCCTCGCACTTAGTATATATATGTATGTGTGTGTGTTTGCCATGATGGCTGTAACTATTACAGAAATGCAGTTTATTATTTATTTTTTTTAATGTTTATTTATTTTTGAGAGGCAGACAGAGAGACAGATAGTGAGCGGGGGAGGGGCAGAGAGAGAGGGAGACACAGACTCCGAAGCAGGCTCCAGGCTCTAAGCGTCAGCACAGAGCCCGACACAGGGCTCAAACCCATGAGCTGTGAGATCATGACCTGAGCTGAAGTGGGATTGCTTAACCAACTGAGCCACGCCGGCGCCCCAACAGAAATTCATTTTAAATAG